AGTTCATCACAACGCAGCCACTCTTTTACAGGCCCGCACCTTCCACACCCCTCTTCTGTGCCTCTTGAAAGCACCCCCTTCTCTTGATGTACTCTCTTGACGCCCAGCCCACGCTCTGTTGAATTGTCTCTGGGCTGCAGGCTGGACTCGGCTCACAGTGGACCCACCCAACTCAGACACTCCGCCGTTCCGAGGCAAGCAAGACTTGCGCCTCCCGATGTTATCACTCCGATGAATGTCCGATGGCCAATGAATGACCCGTTGAATGACTCGGTGAATGGCCCGTCACTGCGGCCACACGTTGCTCCACCGGGCACGGTATCATCTCTAGTTGCGGCGCAGCCTGCCCGCCGTTGCGTACTCCAGGCTGGGCACGGCTCTCGGTTCACTCCGAGGTTGGCATCCTTGGGTTGTGGGGTCCCCTCTGTTGCCTGGAGTCGTTGTTCCAAGGGGGCGCTGTACACGAGTGCTTCCAGTGCAGTTACGGGCGAGTGGACTGCATCGCTCTGTCCTCAAGAGCTTTCCTTTGAACAATAGAAACCAAATACAAATCATTAGTCACTTTCAATATTAATTTTCTTTCCAACCGCGGAAACTATTCTTGAATCTTAACCTAACTTAAAATTTCTTACAACTGCAACTTAACCTATGACAATTTACTTAAAAATTAACTTAACTTAACTCGTGCTGTCCTGGCTCGTCACCCCTCATGTGAGATTACTTTGAATCCTTGTCAAGGTCCACATGCTCGGCGATGACAACCTCTTTCCATCACATCAAATTTTCCTGAAACTCACAAATTAATTAAAATCATACTCTCACCGTTAACCTTGGCGTCTCACTTTTCAGTCCGAAGGGAAAGCATTCGACCTTCTGATTGTGAGAACGGACCGAGTAGAACCGATGGTAGTGACTGACAAGGCTATTCCAAACAAACCCTGCACATACCACTTCTTCTCAGCGGCCAATTTAACAAATCACCTTTACCTACAACGATTTCTCATACTCTCTAAACTTCCTTTTTCCTACCACTTGCATTCGGCCCGCTGCTGTGACGGGGCTTGGCCAGGCCCCATGCCGCTTCACACCCGCCACACCCGCCCTCCAGTACCACGCCTCTCTCTCTCTCTCTCTCTCTCTCTCTCTCTCTCTCTCTCTCTGGCGGCTGGTCCTTCCCCGGCTCCGCGTCGACTCGGACCGGGGAAAGGGAGGGCGCGTGTCGACGCCGCGGCCGTCACGCGGATCCACAACACTGTATCCAAACTCATTACCTGATTCGCGCTCGACTTGTCATGCGGTGTCGGATCGGGAAAAATCCCGTGTGCCGCGCATGGAGCGCCCATGGCTCCACGCCCACTCTGCCGGCACTTTCACCGCCTCCGAACACCACACATACTTATCTCGCTGTCTGCTTGTCCGTTGTCCTTGACCTTGCTTCGAGGGCTTGGGGCAGCGCCCGCCGCGCCTATCTTTCCAGGCCCTGTGGTGATTCTCCCGGAGCTGCGTTCACACTGCACGTTCCAGCTGGCATGTCGGACGGCGCGTACCTGTAATCACAACTAACCGCCGTGTGCCCTGTCTGCAGACAGATCTGGCACGACGCGTCACCGCTACCGTCGCCGTCCTGCGAACACTGTCGCGCCAAGTGCCCGACTTGGTCACACCTGTAACACCTGCGGGTCTCGCCCTCGCACCTGCCGCGGACCCAATGATGCTGCGGCGTCGGCTCCTCCTCCATTTGCTCCGCGCCCACCGCGACAGTGCGCACGCCGAACCTTGCCGTCGCCGCACGGTTTGACCTCTCGACGTTGCTCGCGATGTTGATGACGTCCTCCAGGGTCGGCTTCGTGGTCTGAAAAGCAAGCCCCTTCTCCAGGCGCGCCTGCACCGCGGGGTCCACCCCCTGCCGGAACACGTCCACCACGGTGTCCTCCCACACGGCGAGCACCGCGCCGCGCCCCCGCGCCGTCACCCTGGCGCACTTCCTGGCCAGCACACGGTCGCCGGCCGCCTTGACCCGCCGTGCGTACTCGGCCACCGTCTCGTCCTTGCTCTGCACCAAGGACCTGAAGTGGGTCTCCACCTCGTGCTCACTGCGGCCGAACAGCTTCACCAAGTGCCGCTTCGCCTTCCTCCAGCTGTTGAGGCTGTTGTCAAACGTCTCCGCCGCTGTATCACACAGGCTGTAACTCACCAGCTTCAGCTTCACCCTGTCGCCCATGCCCTCCGCCTGGGCCACCCGTTCCACCGAGGCCAGGTAGGCGGCGACGCTCTCGTCGGCACCCCCGCCGAACTTCTTGATGCCCTGCAGCATCAACCTGATGGTGGCCGCGTCCGCGTAGTCCGACGGCCTGCTCCTGTGCATCGTCGAGGCCGTGGACGGCGTGGAGCTGGCTGAGCTGGACGCGCCGTCGCTGTGCCGCCTTGCACGTTTCCTTCCAGTGGAGCCCCGACTGCGGCTGCCTCTGCCACTGCTGTACTCCAGCACCTGCGGAACTGGCGTGCCCGT